TGGTTTCAATGTAACCTTTTCTGCGAGATTTTTGCTTCAGTCTCTTTTGTCCTTGTGTTCTTTTTTCAAATTTCTAGGTCCTTATTCATCATGTGGCATATTATATATAGTCTTGTTTTTTTCTGCCTACTGCTCTACCTTTCCCCTTCCCCAGAGGCACCAGAAGAGTGCCGCCTGGAGATTCCTCTGGCCTCCACTGCATCCTGCATCGCCCCTGCAGATCTGCATTCTCCAGGGATTCCCAAGACTTTCCCTGAGCTGACTATTTACCTCCCATTCAGCTCCTCTCCAAACCCAGGGCTCTACAGACAGTTCTCACGGCTCTGTGGAGAACCTGCAAAGGTACCTGTTTCAACAGGTTGGGAACCACCGTAGACTCCAGCTTAGCTAATGCAGATAGATGAAGTTCCTTTTCTTGGCAGACATGTTTTTCAAGTGTATTATTAAGTTATGCTTCTTTCCTGGTTTGTTTTTTGTTGATGGATTTTTCTTTTTCTGTTGTCTACTATTTTTATTTCCATAAGTAAGTCATTGGGTAAAAGAGGATCTGTAACGGTGCCTCACTTAATTTGTCTCTATAGAAAGCACCATCTAATTCTTTTCAAACTGCATTCACTGGTGAAAATTACTGAAGAAACCACTCAATATCTCTCACATCACATGCATAAATATCAGTCCTGTTAATGGCACTGGCCTTTTGGGGGTAGAGTGGCGGAAACTAGGTGTAAATTAAAATGGAGGGGTGATAATTTGAGATGGCTTTCAACTTTAAGTTTGAGAATAGATTAGAAAGGCATCTGTTCATATAGCACAAAGTATGTTTTTGCTACATTTTAATAAAAATTTACCTCCCATACACTTCCCCATCCTCCATTTGGTGAAGGGTAAGTGGTCTGAAACTTTGATGCTATTCCCGCCCTCATCCCCCAAGTTTCTTGCTTCCTTTCCACATCACAGGCTGGTATGTAAATATTCAAAAGATAGATTATAATCACACATTCTTTATTCTTGATATGTCTTACATTAAATAGGAACATTCACATAACTGACTCATAAATAAAAATATGTAATTTAAAAACTTCATTCCCCTGAGACTCTGGAGAGAAAATGCAGAACAAACAATACATACTAGCCATTTAGAAAGGTGTTCTTTGTTTTTATCCCAAATGATTCTGCCACACCCATGAGGCAAGTGCTGACTACGGAGCTGAAAACAGGCGAAACACTGGCTGAGTGGCGGAGCGGAGAGCGGGAGTGACGTGCAGGGGAGGCGGTAAGGAGGAAATCCAGGCCAGTGGCTTCTGTAAGTGAATGTGATAAAGCAGCTGAATATTAATTTTGTATTTCATAGTCATCTGGAGATAGGACACAGGCAGCAAGCAGGTAGTTATAGCTCTCTGCCAGTATGTGACTCTAAACTACCTTTGATTAATGCACCTGAGAAACTCAAAGTGACTTGTAGGATAACAGACTTTATACAATGGTAAGGACCTGGGCCAGGTACCTATCTAACCCACTGCTAAAAATATCTGGGGTGCATAATGGGATGCTATACCCGCAATTTGACAATATATATCAAAAGCTTACTTAAAAGCTCACTTCAGCTGGACTGAGTTTCTGGGGCTTAGATGTTGTTCTGGTGGGTTAGTTACCCTTCCCCACAAAATATCATTTTCACTTGTGGCTGGAATGTTGAGGGGTGGATTTGGACAGGGCTTCTTGGTGTACCCAGGATTTACTTCAGGGTTGGAGGAGACTTCTGGGGGAAAAAGGCTCAGACTTTCTGCTGAAGTGGCGAAGATATAAATCATGCCTGGGGCGGGGACCGTGGGTGCAGCCTGAGGCTCTATTGCAGGAGACCAGGTGGAGCCTCTGAGAGGAAACTCACCAAAAGGGAGGGGCTCCGAACAGGACCCAGGTCACGCCCAGAAGGAAGCGCTAACTCTCAGGACATGGCGGAGGGCCGTCACCAACCTCACTCCAACCTGTGCTGTGATAGACCATTTGGTAAAGCAACTGAACTGAAAAGCTACAACACTGAAGAGGTGAAACACTCAGGACCCAAGCAACTCTTGTGCTGAGATTCCATTCAAGAAGTAAAACTCTCTCCAAGTTATATACCTCCCCAGACATGCTCAGCCTCAGAGCACCCCAGGCTTCGGTGGGTTGCTTCACTTCCCCAATAGCAAGGCCCCTGGGAAAGAACTCTGAACTCTTCCCGTAGTCTTAAAGTCCCTGCCACTTGCTGCCACCCATGGTAGAGGGTAGGACAGGAGACAGCTGGCAGTGGGTATGGTTAGGGATTAGGCCATGGACTCCTCTTCTCCTACAGCTCCAGGACTAGGTTCCTGCTCTACCAGACCCAACTAATGGAAGCTGTAGATTTTCCAGTGCTTGTTTAGAGGCATCGGGTTACATATCCCAGAAGTACAGGGAAGTATAAGCCCATAGGACAAATTTTGACCAACAAGACAGAGGAGATATGAAAGAGTCTGCAGACAAATGTCCTTCTTTCCCTGCTACCTCCTGGCTTTTCCAAGACAAAATGACTCAATATAGTCTCTTTGGAAATATCCCACAGTACCAAGAAATGAACTAGGTTTTAAAGTTGTAACCAGCTGGATAACACATGACCTTGTATTTGCTTTCCTTCTTTCCTTCCTTCCCTTTTGCCCTAAATTGTACTTCTCTGCAATTATAGTGCCCCGTGAAGCACTAACATGTTGTTTTCTAGAGAACGCAGACTAACACAGAAATTTTTTTAAAGTGGATTTGGTGGAAGTTTAAAATGAAGACAAGAGTATGAAAGAAACTTTGGAGCATTCAGCATGCTTAATAGTAATAATAGATCAGGGGCAGCAGATCTAGGCTCTAGATCCATCATAAAGATGGGCTGACAGGTTTGGGGTTAGGGATAAAGTATGGTTATGGAATTATATCTCCAGGAGGTACCTTTATCTTCTAGCAGGTAACAAGGGGTAGACAATTATAAGGACTTTTTCATAGATATATATTCCTAGCTATATTTCAGAGAAACCAGAAATATTTTGAGTGAGGGTCTCATTTAAGGGGTAAAATTATTTACTGCATCAAGCCTTTATAGCAAGTGGCAATAAGAAATGATCACCCATCAGTGGAAATGAAAAAAGAATGAGGGGTCTCTGTACACACAAGAGACTCTCAGAAACCTTAGAAAACTGTGCTTTGCTTTATAAGGGAGGGTAGAGTGTTTTTTGTACCTGTGCATCACAGAACTTAATTCTCACCACAGTTACAGAAGAGCAGACATTGTTCTCACCCCCATTTTGCAGATCAGGAACAGGAAAGTGGGGTTAAATGTTCTAGGTTATGTGGGTCTGGGACTCAACTGAGCTTGATGCTCTTTTGCTCAAAATCCCAGCTATAATTTTGAAGGCAACTGAGGAGGATGGAAAATTTCACTAGATTCAAAAGGGATTTAGCTGGTTAGTACCTTTACTTCAGGCAATGAATCAAGACGAGAGGGAAATGATTCAAACGTTGATTTAAGTGGGACTCTTTTCAAGTTGTGGCAGGTAGGGTAATATGTTTGTATCAGAACCTCTAATTTATGTAGATTCATATACATCTTTTTTACATATTGCAGCATTGCAGAGTACGTGGAGTGTTGTGATACTAAATGTATTTGTATAATTGACTCAATTATCCGTGTCGGTATTATTGACATTTAATTTGCAACCTGGCTCCTCCTCTCCGTTAGGGATGTTTTTGGGCTGCTGAAGGAATGCCAACTAATTTAAATAATAATTTAAGTAAAACATAATTAGGTAGGAAAATTAAATTCAATCTTTTGCCAGCTCCTGAAAATTCTATATCTGAAATGCAACTCTAATCCATCCACTATCTGTTTATTTTCCGATGCCATTTTACTACCACAGGATTTTATTGCTTTCCGTAGATTATTGCAAGTTTTTTATCTGGCTTTTTTCTTTACCTCTTTCCAATCCAACCGTTATTCTGCTGATAGTAACCTTAAGACAAACAAACAAAGAAAAACAAATAAACCAGTTCTCATTACAGAAATTTCTTTGCTTGAAAACATTTGATGGCTCTCAATTTTTCACCAGATTAATTAAGTGCACAGGCCACAACACGTTATTCAAGGTTTCTTCATGTCACCTTCCCTAATCCTACCTCGGATGCCTTATCACTGTTCCCGCCTCCGAATTCCCTCACCGCAATGCAAGTTTTTCTCATAGGTAAACAAAAGTATATGTGAACCCTTGCTGTCTCTCTCTACTTACTCTCCTGTGAGATCCTCAATGGGAATTTTTGTGGGGTTTTATCTGGCCCACTCTGCAGTACCTAACCTAGTGCCTGACTCCAAAGAGGGAGCAACAAATACTGTCCATTTCTGCTGCCGGCAAACCCAGCGGGCAGAAATTTTGGTCTTTTGTATCCCAAGTGCCTAGCATAGCACTTGACACATAGTAGGCGCTCAACAATAGGCGCTCAAAGAGTACTGTTGAACAAATGAAGGTATGTAGACAATCTCCATGTCGCGCCCTGCAGAGCAAGTATATAATATGCATATATATATACACACACGCCTAAACATACTTACGCTTATACACGCATATTACGTACATAACACAAAAACACACACATCCATACCCAAGTATATATAATTAGTAAATATATAAATATAAATAAATTATAAGTCTACAGCCTGAAATCCGAACAGGCTAGAAAGGCAGGGCTGAGGACCGTGCGATCCTGCAGGACCGCAGGGCAGAACCCAGTGCTGGGTCCGCAAGAGCCCTCGAACCTGGAGAGCGCTGCGCGGCTTGGCCCTTCCGCGTTTCCGTCCGCCGCCGCCTCCATTGGTTGGGCTCGGAGCAGCTGACTGGTAGCTCTGGGCGTGGGAGCAACGAGGATGGCGGCGCCCGCGGCACTGATCCTGCGGGAGAGCCCTAGGTAGCGGTCTGGCTGGGCACTTGCGGTAGCCGGCCCCTGGGTGGCGCGGCCGGGGTCGGAGTAAGGCAGCGCCCCGCTGTCTGTCGCCCTGGCGCCCACGCGGGGCCCCCTTCCGGAGGTGGGAGGCGGGGCTGTCCTAGTTGCAGTGCGGGTCCAGCCATAGTGCACGGGGCTCTGGCCCCGCCACCTCGCCGTGGTTCACCTGCGCGAGGTCACGGTGCGCCTGGCCGCTGAGGTCAGTGCTGCGGTGGGTGGAAGCTGTCAGTGTTCGCAGGGTGTACTGTCAGCTCTACCCAGGCCTCCCTGGAGTAATGCTGAGTAACGTGGGGAGGTGTTCCGTTTACGTGTAAATTCTCTTTCTGACATTCTGATGATGAGAAAGGCTCCCTTTGGTGCTGGACGGCCCTTAAACCTAACACCTGTCAATATCCCTTTTCCATGGAGACAGAATTAGGCCCCAGGCCAGTCGTAATTTGAAAACATTGCTTTTGTTTTCATTTTGTTTATTTTTACTTAATTTCTGTTTATGGTAGGTAAGGTCAGCTGTCCATGGTGGTGATATGAAATTCTCTTCTAAAGTAAAATTATTTAAGCAAAAATGACTCCATGTAATGAAGAGTAATTAAATCATAGTGAGGTGGTATGTGGATGCTGACAAAGTGCTGAAGTACTGGGTTGGCCAAAAAGTCCGTTAAAATTTTTTGGTAGGTTTGCTCTATAGCGCTTAGTTGTCTTTAACTTCATTTGAAACAATTTTGTTAGGTTGTATTGTGACAGCTGTCAAGTCCGTGTTAAACAAATGCCGGTTGTCATCTTTTTCTGTGTTTCACTCAGGCTTACCTTAGAGCAATCAGAGTCGTTGAAATGAAGACTTACAGACAACTTCAGCTATAAACATGTGTACTAGATAGAGCAAGTATAGTTGCACTTGGAAAGCTCACATAAAAACTTTGTTTTACTAATTTATTTAGCATGAAAAAAGCAGTGTCGCTGATAAATGCAATAGATATAGGAAGATTTCCACGATTGCTCACCCGAATTCTTCAAAAACTTCACCTGAAGGTTTGTACTTTTGCATTTGTATAATTTACAATACTTTCTTATGATTCCACTGAAACTCTGTTTCTACTTATAGAACATTTTGCAAAGTATAGTGTTTCCCATTGTGTCTTTGAGAACACCAGGACTTTAGAAAGTTTGATAACGTCCCTTGGTCAAAAGTTTTTATAGTAAATATTTAAGGGTGAATACAGTGTGCAGAATTTTCCAGATGTGTTTGACCTTGGAACATTTATCATGGTATATATTTTGGGACTAAGGTTCTGTGGAACATGCTTTGGGAAATTCTGATTTTATGACTCCATTATTCCTCTTAAAAATAATTCTGTGGTGTCAGTCAGTATTTAATCCTTCATTTAATCTTTGACTTTTATTTCAAGAGTTAGTAATTCACTGCTTGCTCACCAGTCTAAGTTAACTTTATCAGGTTATAAAAATTTAATTTCATCTGTCACATGTTTATGGAACACCCTCTAACTGTTCTGCCTGGTGCCAGGCATCACCATTAAACAAGAACTTGGACTCTTTCCTCTTTTTTCTTCTTGGCCAGGAGTCAGCCCAAAGCTCTTTCTCCCTCTGAACTGTCTCTCAAATCCAAGTTCTCTTTATAGTCCTAGTTCAGATTCTTATATTTTTTCTTTGGACACAATAATTACCTTCAAACTGGCATCTTTAGTCTCTCCCTTCCTATTGCTTCTTCATAATGCTATTTCATTTATCATTTGGATAAAAATATTTCTCCAGATATTTTTTCTAAAAAAGAATTGATCATATCAAAGCCATAAATGGTTTTCCTTTGCCCCATGGGAAAAAGTTCAAAATCCTTAACATTATATTATACTAACATTATAATATAGGCATAACCTATATTCTCCCCCCTTTGCAAGTACTCCAGTTACACTAGACTGTGCTTTTTTACTAGAACTTTTTTTACTAGAATTTTTCAACTTTGTGTTTGTGTTTGCATTCTTTTTCCTTTACCTACGATGTCCTCTTTCCCTTCTCTAGTGAATAAACTAGTTTTCATCTTTCAGGGATTTTAGTTTCATTCTCAGCAGTTTTTCTCTCTTCTGTGCTTCTAAAACACTTGGTTCATTATCTCCCCACTTTAGTACTTTAGTATCATAAGCATTTGTTTCATGATTACAGGATCTTTCTCTAACCTTGAATACCTGAGTATTATGTCTTACTCATTTTAATCTTTCCTGTACCTAATACATTGATACTTTTCCAGTCGGCACTCAATAACTATTCTTGGAGGTAATTTCTTCTTTGCCATGGGAAACACAAAACAAACATAAGTCCTTTAAATTCCTATCTGTAAGGAATTTGCTATTTGCAAGTACATCTCTCCCTTTGTGACTGCTACCATGCTACTGGCTTTTCATTATTAGCTCATAGTGGAATTAATGTGGCAACTTTAGGAAGTAGGTACCATTTCATCTTTATGTTATTGGTAAAGAAACTGAGATAGAGACTAGATAAATAATTTACCCAAGATCACACAGCTCACGAGTAAGGCAGTCTGTTCCAGAATCTCTCTCTTTACTCCATTACAATAAACCTCAGAAAAGGGTATGAAATAGTATGTGAATCTGTCTAAAAGTAAATGATGAAGGCAGTTTATACAGAAGTTGTGCTTTGATTCTGAGCTGTTAGGTGGCTGCCTTTGTAAGCATACATTTAAACAATGTGGGTTAAACAGTTCTTATGTACATCTTTGGTTCTTCCTACTGAGAGAGGATGGAACATTTTTCAGAGAAAATTGTGATGTGTATTTTGCCTTTGACCCTGTCAGTCACCTCTGGAGTGGATGATAAGTTAGTGTTTATCTTGGAGTAACTGTGGCTGAAGCATTCCAGAGATGCCTGAATGCAGTACCGTCCCAGGTAGGGGAGTGAAGATGAGGAGGTGTGGTTATTTTATTGAGAGCTGAAGCAACTGAGACCAGAAAGGAGTGTGTGTGAATATTCGCTTTGTAAGAGAATCTGGAAAGGTGTGGTTTGGTTTTGTCCCCCTGGACCATTTCAGGGAGTGTTCTTCCAGAAGGGCTTCTATTGTGATAAGAGCTTTTATCAAGTAAGATTTGTAGAGACATTCAGGATCTGCCAGCTTTCTTTTATTTCCTTTTCGTCTGTCAAATTGTCCTTTGCCTTCCAATGAGCAGAGAGCCTTTAGAACAGTGAGACCTGACTAGATTGATGAAGTTTAGAGATTTAGTTGCTATACTAAATGATACCAGCTTAGCACATTATTTTACCAAGCTTAATTTGTTTATGGGCAGAGATAATCTATTTGGTCCAGACTGGTTCCTTGGAACCCTAGTAGGATTGAACATAGGAAACTAAGACAGCTTAGGTATAGAAAATGGGCATATCTAAGCATGGGTCTGGGAGTCCACTCTGAACTGGCCATCTTCCTGGCCAGGGAAATGTGCAGGACAGTCCTGCACAAAGAATTGTCCCATCCATCATGCTCATAGAGTCTGAATTGGGAAATACTGAGGCAAGTCAGACCATCTGCCATAGCTAGGAACTTAGAAATAAACATTTATTGCTTCTGAGTTTCAAAAATAACGGTTACAAGTCATGCAATTAAAAAACAACTCATGTACTTTGCTCCTAGGAGACTTTTAGCCCCTCACACAAAGCTTGTTAATGTCTCTACACTGGGCGTCTAGCTCTGAGAGGTCAGGTATCTGGGTTCCTGGGTAGACTAGAGACGGCCAACTGGGGGATGGAGCTGCCGCTACAATGAAGCATGTAGGGCAGTTTCAGGAATTGCCTGTTGATCGTGGCATGAAATGGGAGAATTCTGAAAATCAGAAGAAATATAAAAGCACAGAATTCTGAGGGTTGTTTTTACTGAAGTGAAAAATTATAGATGTATTCTTGGAGTTCTTAAGGATACTGCAGCCCAGAACTTTGATGTTTGTAATTATGACCTGAGTCAGCATTAGAATTAGTTTAGTCCCATATACTTTATTTACAGAATTCTAGAATGGATGCCATACATTTTAGAAACGTTTCTTCCACATTTTAAAAAGTCCATTCATTTGGTAGATTTATTTGTGAGTACCACTGTACTTCCCCGTGATGATAGAGAGAGGAATCTCTTTAACATACAGGACAATCACACGTGTAAACCCCAGCATGTGGACATCTGAGGATATTTTTGGTTGTTCCAGTGTGGAGGGAGCCGCTCGCGTTCAGTGCTCTGGGACTGTAAATGCCTTACCTATGCAGGATAGTCCTTCACACAAAAAAAGTAGTCTCACCTATGGACCAAAAAAAGGGGTCGCTTGTCAATGTTTTTGTGTGTCTTTTTAACTAGAGGCTGGTATCCCTGAGGACGTGAATTGTCTGTGTAGCACATAATAGATACTCAGTAAATGTTTTGAATGAATGAAGGTGGAAATTACTATTAATCATTAATTTTTTGGAAATTACTATATTATTAACATTTTGAGGTTTTACCTTCTAACTTTTTTGTAAATATCCATTAGTTATGGTATTTACTGTTATTTTTCACCTCCATATATTTTAAAATACTGTTTTTTAAAAATGAGCTTTATCTGGCAATATCCAGATACTGAACTGTGCCATGATTTTGAGACATTGAAATTTTATAAACACATGACTTTCTTTTACCTAAGAATTACTTTTTCTTTTAGAATCTCATTTTGCATATGACTAAATGAATCTTCTGAGTACCTGAGTTTTGAATACCTGAACGTATTCTAATAGATGGCTTTTTGCACTGCAGGCCGAGAACAGTTTCAGTGAAGAAGAGGAAGAAAAACTTCAAGCTGCATTTTCTCTAGAGAAACAAGATCTTCACCTAGTTCTTGAAACAATATCATTCATTTTAGAACAGGTATTTTTATTGCCCCAAAGTTTCGAACCATTGTTGTTTAGTATGTTTGTATCGCTATGATATGTATAACATTTTTAAAAAGTATGTAGATGGAACCTGTGAGTATATTTTAATCAAGAATTTTAATGTAGTAAAAAAAATATTTGAATGTGTGATTCCCCTTATCCCCACAGTATTGTATTCTGCAAAAACAGTCTTAATGTTGAGTAGTGTGAAGAGAGTGTTTTAACAATATGAATCAATACTTTATTTACTTAAGACATTTGTAAAAGATTTTAATTCATTGTTACTTGGTATAATAACTTGGAAAATGAATACTCTTTATTTAAAATGTGTAATAAATGATTTTGGGTGACTTGACTAAAATGATAAGTGAAACATTTAGAAAAGAAATAGATGTCAAAGGACTTTGTCACTCAATTTCTTCAAACTGAGCTGCCCTTCTGCACCCTTCCTTTCATCCAGGGAAGGATGAACAGTTTATTCTGTAAGATCCCTTTAAGTCACATCTCGTTTCCCTGTAGCCTTGACCTCTCATACTTGCAGTTTTCCCCTTACTTGGATTGCTTTTATCTTTGGCTCTTCATAGTAGAGCACTTTATCTTTCATTGTTTCATGGGTGTCAGTAATAACTTCTCTTTGTTTTGAATTTGGGGGGTCTAGGATCTTATATGTGTGTGTGTGTGTATGCCACATGTGCCTACACATCTTATATATACCTAGCACATTGCTGGGCTTAAAATAGATTCTCAATAAACTTCTGTTGATTGATTAAATAGAATACTTGTGAAATTATGTTTTTCTTTTTAAAAAATTTTTCTTCTTTTAAAATTTATTTATTTTAATTGTTGTTCAAGTACAGTCTTCTGTCTTTTCCTCCCATCCCAGCCCACCCCCCCCCATTTCCACTCCCCTTAGTTTTGGTCCATTTGTCCTTTGTACTAGTTCCTGTAAACCCTTCCTCTTTTCCCCTGACATTCCCTTCCCTCTCCCTTCTGGTCACTGTCTGCCTGTTCTCTATTTCAGTGTTTTTGGTTATATTTTGCTTGCTTGTTTGTTTTGTTGTTTAGGTTCCTGTTAAAGGTGAGATCATATGGTATTTGTCTTTTACCGCCTGGCTTATTTCACTCAGCATAATGCTTTCCAGTACCATCCATGCTGTTGCAAAGGGTAGTAGTTCCTTCTTTCTTTCTGCTGCATAGAATTCCATTGTGTATATGTACCATGATTTTTTGATCCATTCATTTACTGACAGGCACCTAAGTTGCTTCCAGCTCTTGGCTATTGTAAATTGTGCTGCTATGAACATTGTGGTGCATAGGTTCTTTTGGATTGGTGTTTTCAGGGTTCTTAGGATATAATCCTAGCAGTGGAATTGCTGGGTCAAAAGGCAGATCCATTTTTAGTTTTCTTAGAAAATTCCATACTGTTTCCCATAGTGGTTGTACCAGTCTGCAATCCCACCAAGAGTGAACTAGGGTCCCCCTTTCCCCACAACCTCTCCGACACTTGTAGTTTGTTGCTTTGTTTATGATAGCCATCCTGACTGGTGTAAAGTGGTATCTCATTGTGGTTTTAATTTGCATCTCTCTGATAGCTAGCAATATTGAGCATCTCTTCATGTGTCTCTGAATGTTCTGTATGTTCTCCTTGGAGAAGTGTCTGTTCAAGTCCTTTGCCCATTTTTTAATTGGGTTGGTTGTCTTCTTAGAGTGGAGTTGTGTAAGTTCTTTGTATATTTTGGAGATTAAACCTTTGTCTGAGGTATCATTGGCAAATATGTTTTCCCATACAGTTGGTTGTCTTGCTATTTTAATACTGTTTTCTTTAGCCACGCAGAATCTTTTTATTTTGATGAGATCCCATTTGTTTATTTCCTTTATGTCCCTTGTTCTAGGGGACATATCAGTAAAAATGTTGCTGCGTGAAATATCTGAGATTTTCCTGCCAGTGTTCTCTAGGACTTTAATGATGTCATGGCTTATATTTAAGTCTTTTATCCAACTTGAATTTATTTTAGTGTATGGTATAAGTTGGTGCTTGAGTTTCATTTTTTTTCATGTAACTGTCCAGTTCTCTCAACACCATTTGTTAAAGAGACTATTTTTACTCCATTTTATGTTGCTACCCCCTTTGTCAAATATTAATTGACTGTAGAGAGCTGGGTTGATTTCTGGGCTCTCTGTTCTGTTCCATTGGTCTATGTGCCTGTTTTTATGCCAGTACCAGGCTGTTTTGATTACAGTGGCCTTGTAATACAGTTTGGTATCAGGTATTGTGATCCCTCCTACTTTGTTCTTCTTTCTCAAAATTACAGCTGCTATTCGGGGTCGTTTATGGTTCCATATAAATTTTTGAAGTGTTTGGTCTATATCTGTGAACTATGTCATTGGTACTTTAATAGGTATTGCATTGAATCTTTAAATTGCTTTGGGTAGTATAGACATTTTGATGATGTTAATTCTTCCAATCCATGAACAAGGTATATGTTTCCATTTGTTTGTGTCTTCCTTGATTTCTTTCTTCAGTGTTGCGTAGTTTTCTGCATACAGGTCTTTTACCTCCTTGGTTAGGTTTATTCCTAGGTATTTTATTTTTCTTTTTGCTATAGTAAATGGGATTTTTTCCTTGATTTCTGCTTCTGCATTTTGGTATACAAAAATGCCTTTGATTTCTGGATATTGACTTTGTAACCTGCTGTTTTGCCAAATTCATTAATTAGTTCGAGCAGTTTTTTGGGTAGAGTCTATAGGATTTTCCATGTACACTATCATGTCATCTGCAAACAGTGACAGTTTTGTTTCCTCCTCTCCGATTTGGATACCTTTTATTTCCTTTTCTTGTCTGATCGCTGTGGCTAAAACTTCCAATACTGTATTGATTAGAAGTGGTGAAAGTGGACAACCTTGTCTTATTCCTGATCTTAGTGGAAAAGCTTTTAGTTTTTGCCCATTGAGTATGATATTGGCTGTAGGTTTCTCATAAATGGCCTTTATTGTATTGAGGAATGCTCCCTCTAGTCCCACTTTGCTGAGTGTTTTTATCATAAATGGGTGTTGTACCTTATTAAAAGCTTTTTCCGAATCTGTTGATATGATCATGTGGTTTTTGTCTTTGCTTTTGTTTATGTGATGTATTACATTTACTGATTTGCGAATATTGAACCATCCTTGCATCCCTGGGATGAATCCCACTTGGTCATTGTGTATGATCTTTTTAACGTATTGTTGGATGTGATTTGCCAATATTTTGTTGAGGATTTTAGCATCTATGTTCATCAGCGATATTGGCCTGAAATTTTCTTTCTTTGTTTTGTCTCTATCTGGCTTTGGGATTAGGATGATGCTAGCTTCATAAAAAGAGTTTGGGAGTCTTTTATCAATTCGGATTTTTTTGAATAGTCTGTGGAGAATAGGGGTTAGCTCTTCCTTAAATGCTTTGTGGAATTCTCTTGTGAAACTGTCTGGTCCGGGGCTTTTGTGTGACGGGAGATTTTTGATTATTGCTTCAATTTCATCTGCTGGTATTGGTCTGTTCAGGCTTTCTGTTTCTTCATTCGGTTTTGGAAGATTATATTTTTCTAGAAATGTGTCCATTTCCCCTAGGTTTTCCAATTTTTTGGCATACAGTTCTTCATAGTAATTTCTTACAATCCTTTGTATTTCTGTGGTGTCAGTTGTAATCTTTCCTCTTTCATTTCTGATTGTGTTTATTTGGGTTCTCTTTTTTTCTAGATGAGCCTACTTAAAGGCTTGTTGATTTTGTCTATTTTCTCAGAGAACCAACTCCTGCATTCATTGATCCTTAGAATTGTGCTTTTAGTCTCTATGTCATTTAATTCTGCTCTGATCTTGGTTATTTCCTCCCTTCCTCTTGTTCTGGGCTGTCTTTATTGTTGTGTCTCCAGTTCTTGTAGGTGTAGGGTTAAGTTGTTTGAAATGTTTCTATCTTCTTTAGGTAGGCCTGTATTACTATGAACTTCCCTCTCAGGACTGCCTTTGCTGTGTCCCATAAGTTTTGGGTTGTTGTGAGTTCGTTTTCATTTGTTTCCAGAAACTTTTTGATTTCTTCCCTAATTTCATTCTTGACCCATTCATTGTTTAATAGCATACCATTCAGTCTCCATGATTTTGGGTATTTTGGGTTTTTTCCTTTGGGGTTGGTTTCCAGTTTCAGTTCCTTGTGGTCAGAGAAAATGCTTGGTATGATTTCAAACTTCTTGAATTTGTTGAGGCTTGTTTTGTGTCCTATCATGTGGTCTGTCTTTGAAAGTGTTTCATGTGCATTTGAAAAGAATGTATATTTAGCTTCTTTGGGATGAAGAGCTCTATAAATATCAGTCAAGTCCATTTTATCTAGGGCGTTGTTCAATGCCACAATATCTTTGCTGATAGTTTGTTTGGAAGATCTGTCTATTTTTGACAGTGGTGTGTTAAAATTGCCTACTATAATTGTGTTGCTGTCAATAACTTTCTTGAAGTCCTCTAAGATTTTCTTTATATATTTGGGTGCTCCTATGTTGGGTGCATATATATTTACAATATTTATGTCTTCCTGGTAGATTCTTCCCTTGACTATTATGAAGTGACCCTCTGTGTCTCTCTTTATGGCCCTTTTTTTGAAGTCTATTTTGTCTGATACGAGTAGTGATATCCCCAGCTTTTTATTCCTGACTGTTTGCTTAGAAAATTTGTTTCTAGCTCCTCACTGTTAGTCTGTGATGGTCTTTTGTCCTGAGGTGGTCTCTTGTAGGCAGCATATGTGTGGGTCATGCTTTCTTATCCATTCAGGTATTCTGTGTCTTTTGATTGGAGCATTTAATGCATTTACGTTTAAGGTTATTATTGATAGGTACTTATTCATTGCCATTTTTGTACCTGTGTTCCTCTCTGTCTCCCTCTTTTCCTTCCTTTCCTTAAAGCAGTCCTTTTAGTATTTCTTGTAGAGTTAGTTTGGTGGAGGCGTATTCTTTTAGACTTCTTTTGTTTTGGAAGCTCTTCATTTGGCCTTCTATCTTGATTGAGAGCCTTGTTGGGTAAAGTAGCCTGGGTTGCAGGCCTCTGGTTCTCATCACTTGGAATATTTCTTGCCATTCTCTTCTTGCTTGAAGTGTTTCCATTGAGAAGTCAGCTGCTAACTTTATTGGGGCTCCCTTGTATGTTACTTCCTTTTTCTCCCTTGCTGCTTTAAAGATTCTCTCTTTGTCTTGGAATTTTGCCATTTTAATGATGATATGTCTTGAAGTGGGCCTTTTTGTGTTCCTCTTGATTGGGACTGTCTGTGTTTCCTGGATTTGTGAGACTTTTTCTCTCATCAAATTAGGGAAGTTTTCTCTCATTACTCGTTCAAATACATTTTCTATCCCTTGTTCTTCTTCTTCTCCTTCTGGTATCCCCATTATTTGGATAATATTATGTTTCATATTGTCTTGCATTTCTCTTAATCCCTCTTTATTCTTTCTGAGCCTCTTTTGTTTTTTCTTGCTCTTTATGGGATTTTTTTTCCTACTTTGTCCTCCAACTCGCTAATCTGATCTTCTTCTTCATAGATTCTGCTTTTGATTCCTTCTACTGTGTTCTTCAGTTCAGAAATTGTATTCTTCATTTCCTCTTGGCCCTTGCTGATAGTTTCTATTTTCTTTTTCACATTAATATAGTTTGCAGTGAGTTCATTGTAGGTCCCCTGTAGTTTCTGGCAGCTCATTGTGAGCTCTTTGAACTTCCTGGTAACCAGCGCTTTGAATTCAGTATCTGATAGTTGACTTGCCTCTATTACATTCTTTCTGAGGGTTCCTCCTTTCCTTTCATTTGGGGATTGTTTCTTTGTCTTCCCATTGTTTGTGAGAATCTTCTTTTTAGCTTTAGCTTCTTACATTGATTTGTTCTGGCTTACTGGGTTTATGGTATGAACTGTGGTATAATACCTGTGAGATTCAGTGGTGTAGTCTCCTTGATCTCCCCTGCTCACTGGTCTTGGGCTGTCCTTAATGTTGGCTCTGAGTTTGTCTTTGGGTTGTGGTTGTGTTTGAGTCTTTCTTTTGTGGGTCCTTCCTTCCAGCTAGTGGACTGATGGTCCCTCCGTCTACCACCTGTTGTAATTTCTTGTGCTGGTGAGGGCAGGTTGTGTTGAAGCTAGTTCTTCTGTGTATACAAGGTTTTGAGGATTCTCTTTTGCTCTCGTTTAGTTGTTTGTACTGGGTAGTTTCTCCACTATTTAGTTGTATTTCCAGATAGGTCCTGGATTGAGGTTTGTGTGGTTTCCACTCCCTCCGTCACCTTCTTCTGTTGTTATCTGTTGGCAGTTCCTTTGTTGTCAGGTTTCCTCTTCCAGTGGGTATCCTGGTGTTCACCACTTCCACCTACTCTTTTTTGTGATCAGTTGGAGGGGAAGGGAAAATGGTTTATGACAGTAGGAGAGTATTCTATGGTATTTACAGTGTCAGCTGGTAGAGAAGAGATAGGAGGTCCTTTGGCTATGCATAGTATTAACTGTAATGTTCAACCCAACTAGCCACTTTTTAGGAAGGATGGAAAGAAGATAAAACTCTTGTTGGGAAGGAAAGGCTTGTGAGTTGGATCTAGAAAGCAGTGAGGTTGTGGGAGGTCAGATTCTGAGGTAAGGTGAGAGTAAAGGATAGTAAATAGGTGTAGTGTGTGAGAGAATAGAGTTAACCACTACAGTAATAGACTTCAGGGAACTGTGAAGTGGGCTAAGATCTAGGAGGCATGTTGCGAAGTATTTACAATTTTATGGAACAGCTATTATTTATAATAATATCAGAGCAAGAATCATATGACAGAATCTATGTGATCTGTATGACATGAATAGGGGGTATAGAACTTTGGGTAGTGTGTTAAAGGAGCACAAGTGACGTGAAGGGTAGTGAATTAGCAGTACACTGTGGAAGAGAGAACAGGGAAAACCTGTCAAATGATACAGTATAACCAGTCAATCAAAGAAGACTATACAGAAAGAAGAGGAATCCAAAAATACTATTAAAATAAAAGATGTAAGAATAATGAAAAATATATAAATATGCAGTAACTTGTGGTTTCTCTGCAATACCAAAGTGAGATTTGTCTCTGTGTCTCTACTGTTGGGATGCCCCCTCTTTCTGGACCTTTCACAGTTCCAAGTTTTTTGTCTGACTTGTGAGTAAAACAAACAAACAAACAAACAAACAAACAAGGCAGGAGAAGTGAGAAGGAAGAGATAAAATTGGAAAGAAAGGAAGGAGGAATAAAACCAGAAAGAATGAAAGAAGAAAAAATAATTGAAAGATAAAACAATAATAAAATTAAAAGCTTGAGACTAAAAGTCTCAGACTCCCAAGCCAGCGACCACAGACTCTGCGGATGATCACGGCCCTTGTGTGTTTGCCTCTGTCCTTATTTCCCTCTCTGCAACTTCAAGCAACCAGATCTCTCCTGTGCTGCTCAAACCCTGCTTGGCCAGCAAGGGAGGGAGCAGTTGACCCAACTCTCTCCCAAGGACTCTGTGGCAGGGCCGCTGCTCCCAAGGAGTCTGTGGTAGACCCAGCGCCAGTGCTGGGCCCGGGACTACAGCGCATCCTGTGCTGGTCCCTGGGACCTTATTGTCCTGCAGCTGTCTCCTTACTGTCTGGTCTTTCAGTGTTGACTACAGTTTATGGTCTCTTATTTTCATATATGCTGGGGTACTGTTGGCTGTTTGCTCTGTTCTTCTGTAGATCGGCCAGGTTTTTCTCCCGTGTGTGGGGGAAAGTGGAATCTGCTCCCTCCTACTCTGTCACCACCTTCCCAGTCTCTTGTGAAATTAAATTTTAAATAGTACTGTAGCTTCATGAGCATTCTAGTGACAGAGACTGTTAAAAGGACAAGCTGCCAAATATCTACTACATACACGCTTACACAGATTGCAGATCATAAGGATGGCGACCCTTGGTGAGCCTTCAGTAGAAGGAAGGGACTATCAAATAAGACAGAGTAGCATGGAATCTGTGAAGAAGTTGTTCCAGAATAATGTAAGTAATAGAACAGATATCACTGTTAAAATTTTTATAATATTTTATTGTATATTATCTAGGAAGTTGATACAGGGAAGGTAGTGTTGAGAAAGTGCTTCTTGGAAAATTTTGTTAGTTGGAAAACAAAACCATTGTTCACTTCTTTGAAATAATTAAGTGAAATGAAAATTTTTTTCTTTCATAATTGAGATTTTATTGGTTGTTCTGAGGATAAGTAAACATACATTCCAATTTGTGTACAATTCTTAACACATTTACCAAAAACCTAGCATGTAGTTGCGATTCTTTTCTAAACAGTTGTTCCAATAACTTTCTAGTTTAAAATTTGTAGGCTAATTTTCCTCAATAGAGCATCAAGTACCAGTATCTTCAAATGTGGATACATCAAAGTCCCACTAATTAACAGTTTACTATTATATATATTACAAATTTTAATATATATATATCATATATATATCTGACAATAATATATATATATATTAATCAAAATTTCAGTCTTTCACAGCACATCAACGAAGTTTCTAGGAATACTGGGCTACTACTACACTGGAGATGTTACAGTGTGCACAATATTCTGACAGGGGAGCCAAAATCAAGGAGTAGGTTTCTTGAAACAATTCTGCCAAAAACATGAGAATACAAGCAATTTAACATGCTCAGGACATACTAAATGCATGACTGACTCCAAATTGCCAGACTGACTCCAAATTGCCATTTAGTATGCTTTGTACTGTATTATAGGATATAAAAAGTAACCCCATCAATGGAATATTAAGCAGACACCCAAGACAATCAAAGATTCTCATATTTAATATCCTACTGTTTTCTGGTTGTACCAAAAAATAAAAAGTAGCGAACAATTTCACCTCTTAAAAAAATTTCCTCTTAAAAAAATGGGATGAGGTTGAATTCCCTCCTTAAAAATATTCCTAGAGCTACTAAAAAACTTACATTTACAAAATAGTTGATAAAAATATTCCTCTGGATTGTACAAGCAGGGAGAGAGGTCCCACTGATAAGGCATGGCATATGCCTTAATCGGACTTGGCTCCTTTCTCTGCTGCTTCATCTGAGGCTGGACTCTCCTCATTTTTAGACTCTGTTTTCTGCAGGTAGATCGTACTTGGGTTCAAGGTTAGCCGCTTTGGCTTGTTTTCCCTTCATTCCCTTTTCCCTTTCATTTGCACTTTTTTTGTCTGCATATTTATTCTTCCTTGCTGCCTTTTCTGGCTTTGTGTCTACTTTTGGAGGAGCAAGCTTAGCTGACAATTTTGCTGATCTGCTTCTTGGGCTCCTCCTTCACTGCACCCTTGGTGGAATTGACTTTCGTCCTTCCCAGACCTGGGCTGCCTGGGTGCTGCTGCTTCTCTGGCCGCCCAAGCTGCTTGGACCCACAGTGGGGGTGGTGGGAGAGCCCAGGACATAAAATTTTAATTAGGGCACCATTTACATAGCTAAATCATAGAAGTTTGGTGGATTTAGGATTGTTTACACCTCAGATAAAGCTGAAAAAGTTTAGCCTGAATAATTTAGGCCACTTAATCTAAGATCTTTCAGTCCTTGGAATGGTATATTATTTGTAAAATAATAAAACGTTTCTGCAATAGAAATGTGAAATATTCCTTTGATTTAAATTATTTAATATTAATTTTGTGTTTCATTATAGATCAAGGGCTCTGTATGAATATTTGAAATATATGTAATTTTTTTCTTTTTAATAGGCAGTATATTACAATGTGAAACCCACAGCTTTGCAGCAGCAGTTAGAGAACATTCATCTTCAACAAGACAAAGTAGAAGCATTTGTCAGTGCTTGGTCTTCCATGGGTCAAGAAACAGTTGAAAAATTCAGGCAGAGGATTCTTGCTCCCCAAAAGGTACGGGTTATGTTACCTCAAAGATACTTCTCAGTAGTATGTGGCCTAGGTCCGTCATGGCCTAGTAATGTTAGTGCCTAGATGATTATGCCTGGAGGTTTTCAGGATGACAACATTTTGTAGAGGGGTAGAGTCAGGTAAAAGAAAGTATATAGACAGCATTCCTGTAAAGGTATCTTCATACATGTTTGCTACCACAATGCGATTTAATTTTAACTTGCGCTTTACATATGCCTCTGTGACTTCAGAATAGGAATAAAAATCTTTTTCCCCCTTGAGGCCTTGGACAGAGTTGGTTATTCTTTTAACTATATATCTGTATATAAAACTTACTGCAATTTTACTGAAGTATGTAATTATTTGTTTCTGTGTTTCTGTGTTAGTGCCTAGCAGAATGCAGAAGGTAGTCAATATTTATTGAGTAACAAACAGTGAACAAAACGAACACCTTGGGAGAAATATAAAGCAATAAAATGGTCACAGAACTCTTTAGTTACCTTTTAGTCACCCTTAATGGAGGGTAAGATGATCACACAGATTTTGCCCTTTTTTTCCTGAGTTAACATACTAGTAATTGATTTTCAGATTTTCAGCCAACTTTATATTCCTGCGCTAAATCCTGGTCATGATGTGTAATCCTTTTTATGTGTTTCTGTATTTGATTTGCTAATAATTTGTTAAATATTTTTCTATCTATATTCATGAGGAATATTGGTCTGTACTTTCCTAGTGATGTCTTGTTTCTGTCAGGGTGATACTGGCCCTATAAAGTGAGTTGGAAAGTGGGCCCTGCCCTTTTGTTCTCTGGAAGACTTTGAAGGCTTGGTATTATTCTGCATTTCAGCAGCATTATAAGAGAGTCCCAGTAGGTCCATATCCTTGTCAACACTTCGTATTATCAGTTTTTTAAATTAAAACCACTGTATTAGGTTTGTAGTGGTGTCTTGTATTTTCACTTGCATTTTTCTAATAACATTATGTTGATTACCTTTTTATGCGCTTGCTGGCCATTTATATATATTTTTTGATCAAGTGTCTATTCAAACATTTGTCTAACTCTATATCCATATTATGACAAACAAGTTCCATGGTAATATAAAGGACTATTACAGGTACAAATCCCAGCCTATAGATAGAAATGCATGTGTTTTATTTTGTTTTGTTTTTTCGTTTTGGTTGTGTGCAGGGTGTTTTTTTTTTGTTGAGTTTTGTGAGTTCTTTATATGATGTAGGCATGTCCTTTGTCAGATATGTGGTTTACAGATGTTTTTTCCTAGTATATTGCATTTCCTTTTTTTTCCTTACCTGTCTTTTGCAGAGCAAAAGCTTTTAATTCTTTTTTAAAGTGTTTTATAGATTTATGTTTTACATTTAAGGATAAGGTTCATTTTGAGAGAGTTTTGTATAAGGCATAAGGTACAAGTCAAAGTTCTTTTTTTCTGCATATGGATGTTCATTTTTTTCCACACAATTTGTTGATAACATCATTTTGTCCCTGAATTGCCTTTGCTCCTTGTCAAAAATCATTCGATGTATTTGTGTGAGTTTTTTCTGGACTCTGTTTGGTTCCATTGATCTATTTATCTATCTTTATGTCAGTGTCATACTGCCTTAATTACTATAGCTTTGTTAACTTTGTAGTAAGTCTTAAGATCAGGTATTGTGAGTCTGTTTTGTTGTTTTTCATCATTGTTTTGGTTTCAGTTTCTTTGCATTTTCTTTTCTATTTTTTTTAGTCCTTACCTGAGGACATTTTTTCTTTGCTTTTAGAGAGAGAGGAAGGGAGAGGGAGAGAGAAAAACATTGACATGAGAGAGAAACATCAGTTGGTTACCTCTCTTACGTGCCCCAACTGACTGAGATCAAACCTGCATCCTAGGTATGTGCCCTAACTGGGAACAGAACCTAAAACCTTTTGGTATACCAGCTGGTGCTCCAGCCAACTGGGCCACACCAGCCAGGGCTCTTTGCATTTTTATATTATTTAAAAACCAGTTTTTCTATATCTATAAAAAATCCTGCTGGGATTTTGATTGAGATTGTGTTTAATTTATAGGTGTCTTTGTAGAGAGATGACTTAAGAGTATTGAGTGTATCTCTCCATGTATTTAGGTCCTTTTTGATTTCTTATGTCAGTGTTTTACATTCTTCACCATACAGGTCCTGCACATATTTTGTTATATTTGTACCTGAGTATTTAGTGGGTTTTTTTGAGTTGTAGATAGTACTGCTTTTTTATAATTTTGGTCTCTAACTGTTCATTGCTAGTATATAAAACAATTGATTTTTGTATATTAATCTTGTATTCTGTAACCTTGGTAAACTCACTATTTACAACATTTTTGTGTGTGGATTTCTTGTGATCTTCTTTGTAGACAGTCATATTGTTCATGAATAGAGACAGTTTTATTTCTTCCTTTCCAGTCTTTTCAGTTTTTATTTGTTTTTCTTGCCTTACTGAACTGAGTAGGACTTATTTAAAAAATTAACTTATTTATGTATAGAGAGGAGAAGGGAAGGAGAAGAGAGGGAGAAAAACATCAACCTGTGGTTGCCTCTTGTGTGCCCCTTACTGGGGACCTGGCCTACAACCTAGGCCTGTGCCCTGACTGCGAATCCAACAGGTGACCCTATCTTTGGTTTGCAGGCTGACACTCAATCCACTGAGCCACACCAGCCAGGGTGGGACTTCTAATATGATGTTAAATAGGAGTGGTACCTTGGAAAAATCCTGCCTTACTCCCAGTTAGAGAGAAAGCATTCATTCTCTCATCATTAAGTAGGATATTAGCTATAGTTTTTTAGAAAATTTCCCCTTGTTTTCATCTCTTTCCATTTCTTTTTTTTTCATTGTTAACTACATTTGAAGAACGCTCAGGTGTTTTCCACATCACTGCTTCATTTTTCATTTCAGTTTCTACTTTTTAGTATATCCTGTACAGATTTTTTTTTGAGTTAAACATTGCATTTTTTAAAAAAAAATTTATTTACTTATTTTTCAAGTACAGTTTTCTATTTCTCCCATCCCAGCACCCCCTGCCCCTATCCTGTACAGATTTTAAGTTTTCCATTTTGTGTCCCTGAAATTCTTTCTTCTTTCAACCATCTCCATTAAAAAAATCATCACTTGCCTTTTAATATTTGCATGTTCTCTATTTAGAATTTTCTGCTATTTTATAAAAGAGTTCATTTTTTTGCATTTATATAAGTACAGTTTAAAATATTTCTTTTTCTGCTACTAATAGTATTTTTCTGTATCTTCTGGATGATAGGTTTTTAAAGTTTTATTTCTTCCCCATGTCAAGTTGTATTTGCATTAAGTTCTGTTTAAGAAGTGGTTTAATCAGTTGTCATTGAAATATGCAAAAAGACGTTGGACAAACATGATTAATTGCATATTGATTCCTTGAGAATACTGAAAATTACTTTTTGTCAACCTTTATATTAATGCCTTAAATGCTTAATTAAGATAATTACAAACATTTCTTGTGTTTATTATTGACCAACTATTCCATTAAGTGCTTTATATCACATAAAACCCATTAATCCACTTTCTATTTAGAATAAAGTCAGAGTTTAGAGAGATTACATAATTGGTCCATCATTATGCAGCTAAGTGAGTGGCAGGGTTGGGGTTTGACACCAGTAGTCACGCTCCCAAGCCATCATACTGTACTGCCACCTGAATGTTACCTGCAGATTGTTTTGTATGTGTCAGGCATTAAGGAGGGTGGTTTACATAATTGTGTGTGTGTGGTTCATATCATTGAAAAGGAAGAAAATAAGACTTTAGAAAGTGTCACTTGATCATGTTAACCCAAGTCGTCCATGATGAGACTGGGACAGGAAACAGACTGCTCTCAGAAGCTTTGTTCCTTTCGCATCGTGCTGCCTCTGGCAGCTGTAAGGTTATCTTCTTTTTTTGCCCTGATGGCCATTTAGAATATGGCCATATGTGAAAATAGGTCATGTCGTTTAAACTGTAATAGACAGCAGTGATTTCTTATGTAATAAATGAAAGGTATATTTACAATGATCAACTTGTTTTAATGGTAATTTAGGGGCTCACTCATGTGAACTGTCTGGGCGGTGCTCACAGTGGAACATCTGTGGGTAATAATCCTGAATTCAAAGAATCAGATTCAATTAAATAAGTTAAAGAGTCAACAGATGCTTTTTAATTCAGTTTTTAAAAACATCTTTTTATCTTTTATTATTTGAAAATTAATCTCAATGATAGCTTTTTGCAGGGTATGATTGAAGAAGGGATGTTTAAATTTTATCTCACTCTCTTGTTTTAAAAAATATATTTTATTTTAACCTCTTTAGAGACTTGAGACTGAAATGTTACTACCACTTATTTTAATTTGTATTCTCTTTCTGTCCCTTTTTAATCAGTGTTGACTGTCAGCAGTGTCCTTGTAGAGGGGTTTTCTGTTTGATTTTTACTATAATGCCTATGTGACATAATATTTATTAAATTATGAATACCCTTTCAGATAGAACTTTAATACTGTATTTAATTTTATTCCTGAATTTCTGTTTCTAGATTTTTTTACATAATTTCTACTAAACTAAGTGTACAAAGTTACATGTCAAATATTATTGACATATATATCTGGGGTTTTTTTGAGACCTTAAGGAAAATAATTGTATTTGTTTTATATAATATTTTTTTCTAAAATAGTTTACATTTCTAAGCTAGTGATATTTCTTACTTAGAATTAGATGTGATTATGAGAAATATATGTAAGGCATCTTTAAACTCTCTGAGTAACCTCCTCTTTAAAGACTGCATGTACTGATTCTCTTTCTTAAAGTGTATTTGTAATGTTTGTTAGGGAGCTTTTAAATAGAAATATGAGTTATATGTGTTTTGAATGTTCAAAATGTATTTATTTATGTGATTTTCTCCTGGTAAGAGTATTAACTTTACCAACTAATGGCAAAGTTACTCATATCTACTCATTTCATTATATAATGAAATTTCATTGTATTTC